AAGTCTGAGATATTTGAGTTGAGACCTGAGAGAAAGGAGGAGCCATATTTTGGGAGTAAACGTTAAGGCTTTCAAGGAAAACTGGGCTTGTAGTGTTCTGGGTAAAAGGACAGCAAGGTTGCAGCGCAGTTACTAAGGACAGCTAGGGAGAAGCCAGATTAACTAGGGCCCAGAAGACCAAGGAGGGGAATATGGATGTTTTTTATTAAGTGGGAAACCAGTTGAGGTTTTATGCCACATGGTAACACACTTTTTTAAAAAAGTTATTTTAAAGCAGAAAGGGGGTGGGCTTATGCATGCTGCTCTTGCTAAGAAAAATCTTGCTTGCAAGTTCAGCGAGCATTACAGCTAAGCTGCATTCTGGAATCTTTCAAAATAGAATACTAACAGAAATACCTAGAAGTCAATATACTATCTCAAGTATCTCGCGCTGCTTGCCGAAGACACCGATTCAAAAGGCTTCAAACTCAAATAATCGTCCGTTCGGTTCAGTAATGCATTGTTGCAATGAGGGAATCCATTCATTCAGATTAATACAAATGCTACTACAAGATTAGGGCACTGGAGGGTGTCTTAACACTATCCAGCAGTCAACATGAGTACTGGAAAAGAATGATGGTCACACGAAAACACTATTGTTCTAAATGCTATGAAGTGGGTTCTATCCAAGGAGCCAGGCCACTTGGTAAGTCCACTTTTCAAAAGTCCCGCAAAAATGACGTCTCATCCTTCCAGAAACTCCACCTCTAAGCACTTCAAAAGAAGGACTGCTCAACTGAAGACTGAAGTTCTACCCCCGCGACTCACTTACCACCTGCATCGTATCTCCAGCGGCCTGGGCGGCCAAGCGCTGGGGGATCCCACCCTGCTCGCCCCGCCGCTCGCGCAGGCGCAGACCGTCATCCCGCTGCGCCTCCCTGGGCAATGGTGGGGGAGGGATTCAAAGCCCCCGGGGGAGGTGTTGGGGATCCCGGGCGGAACCTGTTTGACCTCTTAAACTAGGCCCACCGGCACCCGGCCCAGGCAGCGGCCGATGTGCTTGGGAGGGAAGCTTCAGCGGGCGGGCGGCCGCAGCCACTGTCCCCCATAGTTTCCTAGGCAGTTGTCGTGATTTGTGGGGGGATGGGAACAGCGAGACTAGACCCGGGTCCCAACCGGAAAAGCCCTCCTTCCCGGGCTGCGGAAGCCCGCGCCTCCGGGGCCGCGCCGGGCCGTCGTCGTGGCAACGCTGCGCTCAGCGTCTGCAGCGGAGCTGGGCCGCTGAGCCCACCCGGATCCAGCCAGTAAAGGATGGAGACCTCCGGCGCACCCGAGGGTGGCTGTCCCCCGATCCGCGATGGGCCGCGGCCCTCCGCCCCAGGGGTTCGGGCTCCCGCACACCGCCGCACCCTGGGGGCCCTGCGCCCTCTGGGCTCACCGAGTGACCCTTCTCCAGCCCCGGCCCCGAGTCGGCCCTCATGCTGCTGCTCCCGCGGGGCTCCCTCAGCGCAACCGCCGCCGCCCGAGCCCAGCTCCCCCGCGACGCCGGGCCTCCGGGACCTGCGGGAGGCGGGGGCTTCGCAGAGCTTGGAGAGGCTGCCGCCTCCCAAGCCTGGGAGGTTCCCGCCCGCCCAAGCGCTGCCTGGCCGGCAGGGGAAGAGTAGGGAAGGGGAGGGACGCGCAGGCCCGGCCCAGATTACCCTGCGGCTGGCAGTGCAGTTGACAGCTTCTTCCCTTGATACAGCTCTCATACAGGTTCAGGAAAAGGTTTTTCACGAAGAACCACAACCTGTGGTCAAATTCGAACTCTCCTAAGTATCATCAAAACACGACATCGCGTTTGTTTTAGAAAGACAATGTTCACTTTAAGAACTTCAAGTATTTACTCGAGGCAGTTACTGTCTGCTAAGGTTTCCATTACAGATGGAAGAAGAGTTTCCTCGCGCTTTCTGTCTGATTGTGGCAGCCAAGATTGAATAGAGGAACACAGAGAGAGAAAAAAGAAAGAAAAAAAAGAACTACAAGTACTTTGCTCACTGTATAGTTAAATCGATTGGAGGGATGGAGAAAAAAATGTGGATATGGAGAAAGAATGATACAGATGAACAGACATGGATGGGTGCAGGGAGAGCCGCTGGAAGTCTCAAATTTCCAGAGAGCAGGGTTTTAGGAGAAACTTTTCATGGTGTAGTTTGCCCGTATATTGGCCTCCAGAACTAGTCTATTGTCTTTTCCTAATTTGGGTGCTGACTGAAAATGACGGTGCCATAGGTTTCCTTTTTAGATGTGAAACGTCTGTGTTAACCATTTTTGCTGAGTCGGGCAACTAGGCTTTTAGTAAAAATTTTTATAAAACGTAAAAGTATCATAAAGTAAAAGTTTTGGCCGTTAAATACTGTTTACTTTATTTCAAATATTATTTTTATGTGTGTGCATGTATTGCCTGCATATATGTAAGTGCCACCCGTGTCATGCAATATCTGCAGAGGTTAGAAGAGGGCATCGGATCCCCTGGAACTGGAGTTAGGGACAGCTGTTAGCTGCCATGTGAGTGCTGGGATTCAAACCTGGGTCTTCTGCAACAGCAGCCAGTGCCCTTAACCACTGAGCCATCTCTACAGCTTTGTTTGCTTTTTTTTTTTTTTTTTTTTTTTTTTTTTTTAATCTTTTTGAGACAGGGTCTCCCTGTAGCCCCAGCTGTTCTGGAACTCACTATGTAGACCAGGCTGGCCTTGAACTCACAGAGATCCACCTGCTTCTGCCTCCTGAGTGATGGGATTAAAGGCATGCACCACCACGCCGGCTGTTTGCTTTATTTAAAAGACTTTTAAAAACCGAAATATGAACACCATTTAAAATCTATAAAAGCTTCTCACACTCAGCGACTTAACATTATATTTCTACCATTACTTCACATAGGGTAACAGAAGAACTGTTGCTGAAAAGCCACATAAGTAGTTCTGTATAACTGCATTGTTATTTGTAGCCATACAATAAGCTGCAGCACTATTCACATGTTTTGCACATTATAATGGGTCAAACACTACCGTTTTAAATTTCGACTGTATTTCTAGAGTTCTGTAACAAGGGTCCACTATTAACTCCCAGTGCTGAGCAGGAGGCCTAATTAAGACTTGGTAGCAGAGGAAATCCATGCTGCTGGTACCCATTGCAGTTCTTCCTGTGCCTTCTGTATTGAAGACAACAACTGGGCACATGCATCTTGCAAGTTGTCATTCACAATCACATGATCAAAAAAACTGGCCAAACTGAGTCTCCATTTTTAGAGCTAAATTCTCCATTTCTTGTAGGTCTTCATCCTTCAGGAGATATTAAAAAATATAGATAGCACTGTCAGACAAATTAACTACACATGGGTTGTCATGCTGTCACAGGTGTGCAGCTCTCTATAAACTAAATTAATGAAAGGTCAGGTTAATGTCCTCCATATTTTTTTATTATTTTGGATTTTTGAGACAAGTTTTCCTGTGTAGCTCAGGCTGGCTTCAAATTTGATCCTCCTGCCTCTGCCTTCCAAGTACTGGATTTCAGGTGTGTGCCATCATACCCAGCAAGGACACAATTTGAAATGCTCCAAAGATTCAGAAAATAGATTCATGGACTCTACTATCCAAAAGAATCATAGTTTCATAAGCATTGAAAAATATGAAGAGGAAAATGGAGACAAGGGATAATATAAAGACACCTCAAGCTTCCTTGGCAGAACATCCTCGAATTGGAACAATATGGGCATCAGTAATGGTCCCTGTACAAAAAAGACATGCAAATTTACGTGCAAAGCACTCATATTTTTTATTTTAGTTTACAAGGCAGAAAATTTTGGCTATTTCACAAGTGTAATATAGTCCACACTGCTGAAGTTAAGAATAGCTAAGATAGGCGGGTTTTTTTTTAAGTTTAGATTTTAGATTTACTCATTTTGTATGTATGTTGTTTCTCTCCTTCCACCATGTGGATCCTCGGGTTTGGCAGCAGACACCTCTACCAAATACATCATCTTGCCCCCCGACCCTTTTTTGTTGCATTTTCATTTTTTGCCTATGTGTGAGGGGGCACATGAGTGGATGTCAAAGGATAACTTGTGGGAGTCAGTTTTTACCACCATGTGGATCCTGGGAATCAAATTTAGGTCAGTATGGGGCGCGCGCGGATCTCCTGGCACCCGGTCCCCTGCGCGCACACCTGGAGAGGCAGCGGGTCTGGTCGTGCACCGCGTCACTCTCCGCTGCTGAGGTGCTGAAGGTCTCGTGCTAGCGTGGCGCAAGTCCCTGGTGCACACCTGGAAAGGCTGCGGCCCCGCGGGTGCTTCTGCTCCGCAGTTGCTGGCTCTCTGCTTCTCCGCTGCTTCTCTGCGTCCTCTGAGGCTTCTGCGCTACCTGGGCTTGCGCGGCCGAGTTCCGCCCTAATTTCACCCCCTAATTTCACCCGTGTTCTCTCTCTTTAAGTTTGGGACCCGTCAGCTGCCGGGTCACGAGGAGAGGTAGGAGGCGGCTAAAGCTAGGTTTCCGAGCATCGATGATGGAAGGATATCGCAACCCCCCCCCCAGAGACTGGATCATAGGCAGTGAGACACAGGACTCAGCTCAATCCGTGTTACAGCTCTTTATTCAGTGACTCAGCTCGGCTCCAAGTCTCAGTGTTTCAGCCCCTAGCTCCTAGTGATCCAGCTCCAATATTGAGAGAAAACCAGGACATTCTATACCGCGGGGGTAGTGGTAAAAGCTTTAGCTGATAGGCACTTTGTGGGATACCCTATTTACATATGGAAGTGGGCTCCTGCCAGGCTGCTAGACTGTCAGAAAAATCACACAGGAAAACCTGGCATTTCCAGAGCCAGAGGTCATGTTTCTGTGGCGGCTACTTCAAAAGACCAGTCAGGAAGATGCCGGGAAGGTACCCTGATGAAAAGGAGTCTTCTGCATATGAAACCGAGCCCATGGGCTGTCCGGACATGGAGAGACTACTACTTCACAAACAGGGGTCCCCAACAGGTCAGCAGGCTTGGTGATAGGCACATTTACCCACTAAGCCATCTGGTCCCAATATTGAAAGTCTTACGTGTTTTTACACACACACCACACACACACACAAAGTGGCTGTCTGGGTCTAGATGATGGTTATCTGGATGTATACATGTAAAAATTCACTGAGTCACACACTTAAAATTTATTCATCTTAATGAGTCATGCTATGACTCATAATATCTGAGATAGATTTACTGTAAATATGTTATACACATACATATACATATATGGAAAAAATAATCTAAAATGAGTTCACTTGTCTGGCTCCACTATTGTTACCATCATTGTTAATAAACATTTTTGCGAAATACTTTATATTACAGATGAGATACACTCACTGTACAGCATTTTCAAAATAAACGTTCAAGTAAAAATAATCAGTCCAAATATATGAATATGCTATAAACATCGATTTGTTTGGCTTTGAAAACTGTGGCTTAGGGGGTCTGTACTTTTTTAAGCTATAATCTCCAAAAATGAAAGAAAATAAGCATAGCATTTATTAAAATTTTTTTTTTTTTTGGTCTTTTGAGACAGGGTCTCCCTGTAATCTCAGCTGTCCTGGAACTCACTATGTAGACCAGGCTGGCCTGGAACTCACAGAGATCTGCCTGCCTCTGCCTCCCGAGTGCTGGGATTAAAGGCATGCACCACCTTATTTTAACATTTGTAAGTAATGTCCAGTAAAAAGGATAAATCATAAAGATGTTACTCATTAATTCTAATATAAGAATTCTCCAGTGATTTTTATTTCTTGTTAAACCATTTTTCTTGAAGCACCCCTGAGAAGGTCAAATGAACAATGAAAGGTCCGCAACCTGCTCTGCATCTCCCCACCTCACCAGCACTGAAAATAATACATGGTTTTGACTAGATTTACCTTGAACTTCATGTCAACAAAGTAGTCAGTGATAATATTAGTATTTTTCAGAGATTGTTTCATGTAACTCATGCTAGATGGTTTTATAAATATGACATAGGGCTTCAGTTCATGAGTTCATGCTGCTTGAATAGCCTACATAGAAAAATTAAATGCACATTTACAAATAGAAGTGAGCAGCACTTTGGGAGGCAGAGGCAGGAGGATCTCTATCAGATTGAGGCCAGGTCTACATAGCAAGTTCCAGGCTCACCCAGGCTACAGCAAGACTCTGTCTCAAAAAGACCAAAAAAAAAAAAAAAAAAAAAGGAGTGAGCCATTGAGATGGTTCAGTAGGTAGAAGCACTTGTCATGCAAGTCTGATGACCCAAGTTCAATCCCAGAACCCATGGTAGAAGGAGAAAATTGACTCCACATATGCACCCTGGAGTGTGAACACAGACACACATATACACACACTAATAAATACAGTGTTTAAAACTTAAAATGGAAATCATAGCTTCTAGAGTGAACATGAGCATAGTCTCTTGTGCCTTCAAACCCTCAATTATAAAATCTAAACATTTTAATAGTAAAAGGGCTCTAAATCAAAATTAAGTTAGAATCCTGGCCTTTCCTCTATCTATGACTAGCTATTAACTATTAGTAGCTAAGAAAGTCTGCCTATATATGCCAGAATCTTACTTACTGGGAGTAGGCTCCTATATATGACCTCATGAGACAAAAACAAACAGAAACTCAAGAAGGGTCTGTTTCCCCTTTACTTCCCTTTTTGCTAGTATCTCACATTGGATGCTGCCACCATCACACTGATCTCCAGCTTTGACTCAATAGAGAACAATTTTCTCTTTCCCTGACTTTCTTTAGCATACAAACTCTATTCTTCAAAATTTATTTTTTATTTTTATTTTTATGTGGAAGAGTATTTTGCATGCATGTACATAAGTACACCCATGTCATGCAATGCTCACAGAGGTCTGAAGTGGGCATCAGATCCCCTTGCACTGGAGTTATGGACAGTTGTTAGCCTCTGTGTAGATTCTGGGAACAACCTGGTCCTCTATAAGAGTAGTCAGTGCTATAACCACTGAGCGCTCTCTCCAGTCCCACAAAGTATATTCTTTTGTTCTTTTTTGTAAATTTTTATTTAATTTTTGTGTATTTCATAAGAATATCTTAATCATCTTTATACCCCCTTCCCCATTAGCACCCTCCCATAGCCCTCTCCACTGGATTTCATGCATTCTGTCATTTGTGTTAAATCTATCAAATCAAATTAGTGTCCCTCATTAACTGAGGTTAGACATACCTCAGTGCAAGTTCATCCACTGAGGTCTAGTAGGCCTATCTAGAGTCCCTCCCTTTAAGAAGATCAGGTGTTCTTAAATGAATAAAGAAAATACAAGGATCATTAAAAACTGAATCTACACAATAAACATTCCTTTTTTTTTTTTTTTTTTTTTTTTTTTTTTTTTTTTTTTTTTTTAAAAAAAAAAAAAAAAAGAGGACGATAAATCTTTCACTGTGATATATCAAAATAAGGTTCTCTCCTGCCATGTGGGTTCCAAGGATCAAACCTGTGTCCTCAGACTTGGTGGCAAGTGCCTTTACCAGCTGACAATAAATGTTCTTTTTTTTTTTTTTAGTTTTTTAAATTTAATAACCACATGATTAGAAGAAGCATTTCATTACAGCTTTAACATATTCAGGAACACATTCCAGAGCAAGGATACATTTCTTTTGAAAGTGGCTGTAAATTTTTAGGGTCAAAGTTGAATTAATACAGTTATATAATATTGAACTCAGTATAAACCCTGTAAGACAAAATTGAATGAGTTTTTAACTCTTTAAAGAAGATCTCAATTTCATTTTAAAATATGCTGTTTCATATATATATAATTATTATTTGGTCTTTTTTGAGGCAGGGTCTCCCAGTAGCCCCAGCTGGCCTGGAACTCAGTATGTAGACAAGGCTGGCCTTGAACTCACAGAGATCCACCTGCCTCTGCCTCCTGAGTACTGGATTTAAAGGGGTGTGCCACCATACCCAGCTTGTTTCCTACATTTTTAATGCTACTAACACTTAGATGTTTGCACATGT